GAGAACATAGAATGACCACACAATATTCAGGAAACTGTTGAATTCTAAAGGGATAGACAGAATAGAAGTACAAGGACAAGAATATATCCCCTTAACAATAGGGGCTCACTTTCCCTTGAAACCACTGACCCTTGTGTGAGGTAGAATGATAGAAGAAAAGAACATAAAGAAAAGAGAAAAAAAAAATGATAAAAGAAAAATCTGAGTTAGGGCAGGAGCAGAAACAGAAAGGGAGATGAGGGATAATATGGTGGAGCAAGAGACTGAGTTGGGGAAAGAGGACAGAAAAAAGAAAGAATTTGCAGAATGGAATGAGGAAAAGAAAGAAAAAAAAAGGACTTGAAGGGCCTCTTTCAAACTATATCTCTGCTGTCATAATATACAACATGCACAGCCATGTACAGAATGAAGACCACTGATCTCAGCTAGCTGATTGCAGAACCCCACGATGCAGACTGACCTCGGGCTGCAAGGCCAGATTGAGTTTCCTGACCTCCTGAAAGGTTGAATTCCACACCATTCTCCTGCAGGTTTCCCACACCCTTTCTTTAAAGATGCTTAAAATTGGGAACTCAAAAGAATACCCTTTATGACCACCTCTGCCTCTGCAGAGTGGGTCCAAAGACTGGCACACTCAGGAGGTCTGAGAGTGTGCATGGTGGGGGGAGGTTGGGGGAGTTGTAGGGGTTCAAGAGCACCTGAGCGGTTACCTTCCTGGTGCTGGAGTGATGGCGGCTCCCGGCCACCCTACCATATTTTGACAAGTGAATTACAGTGACTTTATTTTAGGTGTATTTTGGTATTTAGAATTATTTCTTTATGGTAAATTTCTAGCAATAAAATTATAAAGTTAAAGGATATGATCATATAAAGAGTTCTTGGACTGTTTTACTAGATTTGTTTCTGGAAAGGTAAAAGTGAATCCCTTTACCAACAATATGGGAGTGTGTTACAACATACTATCTTAGTTACTTTTCTCATTGCTGAGACAAAATACCCAACTGCCAAAGTTAAAGCAGGAAAGTTTTATTGTAGCTTACAGTTTGTAGAGATTTCATTGTAGTGGGCTGCCTCCAAGGCAGGGTGGCTTGGCAGAAGCATCACAGAGAGAAACTGTTCATAGTGGACAGAAGTCAGCAAAGCTGTGAAGTAATGAAGAAAGAGCAAGCAACAAACAGCAACACTGGCTCTCTTTCTGTTCCTTACATTCTATCCAGGCTACCACCCTTAGGGTTGGACAGCTTTAATCCTAGCATTGCACCATGCATCAATCCCAGCATCACATCCTTAATCCTAGCATCACACTGTAGATCCTGTCACCTCCAAAATGCACTACCTATGACCTTGTAAGGCTTTGGGGGGATATCTAGATACAAACCATAACACATACTTGTCAGGATTATTATTAAAAAAAAACTTTGGTAACTGAACTGGCAAACAATTTCTCATTTTAATTGATACTGAACATATTGTATGCATTAAATTATTTTCATTTTTCATTCATTTCTTTGAATTTTTGTTTTCCTTATCAGATTTGGGTTACTTATATAGTGAAAATATTAACTTCCCATATTTTCCCCAGGTCATATACCTTTTAATTTTTTAATATAGGTTTTTTTCATTTTTACATGCCCTATTTTTTTCTGAATTTTTGTTGTCTTGCATTTAGGAGTCCCTTCTATAGGGTTTGTAGGGTTTTTTAAGTTTTTTTCTAAGGCTTCATTTTTTTCTTATTTTATAATATATGGAGTGATATGAAGATGTAGTGTTCTTTTTCTTTGCAGCTGCTAATTGTACCAACATCATTTGTTGAATAACTCTCCTTTTCTTCTGGGTGCTTTTATTAAGAAACTGCCGGTATATTTACTTGTTCTATTGCATCAATTGAATATATTTTTGGACCTTTGAGCCCATTAAAATTTTTAAATATTGTTAGAAATAGTCTCTTCCTAAACCAGATTTTAGATATTTTGAAGATAGACTTAATATCTAAGTCACATTTCTTTCATAAGAATTAAAAATTTTTATTTAATACCTGTTAAAATTAATCAGTAAAATTTTATTAACCCCTGTTAATATGATTTATAGTGGGGTATCCTAGTTTAATTCTTTTTTTTCAGGATAAAAATTGCAATTATGCAGTGAAAATGCTCAGAGCAAAGAAACCCCTAGGATATGGGGACCTGTTGGACCTCTTCCAGGTGTGTGAAAGTGTATCATTTGATCTCACATTTACGTAATTTGGAAATGATAACATATCAAACACACAGTGTTACTCTGTTAAAGAGTTATGCTTATTAAGAGACTTAGGTGGAAAGTAAACTTTTTCTCTTCTTCCCAGAAAAACCTGTTCTTATATTTTCATGGAAACCAGAGTGTTTTTAGTTTAGAAAACAACCTTTTCTATTTTTTTCTCAAATGACCTATAAAATGGTTAATGCCAGATGCCTTTACATTGCCAAATAATATTTTTCTCAGCATGTTTTTTGAAATCTCTTACTCTGCAAAGGTATTTACATAAGATTACCCTTAAATAGCATATCATTACAATTATTGTATATAGAGAGTGACTATATATTATACTCAAAAGGGTCAGATTAATTTTAGTTTCCTGGGTACTTTTACATTTAGAAGAAGAAAAACATATCAGTAACTTTTTTCTTCTGATCTTTCTCTTGCTGAAAAACACATGTTTTTGTTTTTGAAACTGCTTCAGAAGATGTAGATTAGATACATGTTATTTTTGTATCATCTATTAGAATAACATAAAAAATCATCCTTTGATATATTCTCATATAAATTGGAAGGGGAAAAAGTAGAAAGAGATGTCTTTGATTCCTTTATATAAAATAAAATTTTAAAAAATTATTATTACTTTAGATTTATCTTACCATGATAGACCTAACTATAACTGGACATGCATACAGTATTTCACTATGATGCACCATATTTATTGACTCTAAGATACACAATTTTTCACCTGTAATATCCCCTACAATGCCATGCATCTTATAGCTGATGTAATCTTGGAATCACTGTGGGCCAGTTGGTGTTGTAGTTTTCTTTCTTCGTGTGTGTATGAATTGGTTGATATTTAATCATATTATTATTGGCTGAGTTATGTGCATTTGTTGTGGCCATATGCATTGAGTTTAATTGCTATTTAGAATGTCACCATACTTCTCAAAAAACTTTGTTAACATAAGAAAACATACCAGTATCAAAAGATGCAGAATGGTTGTCTCTGGCTTAGAAGAAGAATCTCAGAAACAATGGTGAAGTACTCTTTCAAAAAATAAGATATTCCCAAGCTCTTTTTGTTTTGATTTGTTTTGTTTTGTTTTGTTTTTTGGTACCGGAGATCGAACTCAGGACCTTGTGCTTGCAAGGCAGGCACCCGCTCCCCCCCGCACAATCTCTTGATGGTACAGAAGATGAAACTGTGAAGAAAAACTAAATAGACAGCATTCTCAGTGACATTTATTTTCTTTATGATATTACAAATATATCTTGATATCATTGGCCCTTTACACTCTTAAGAAAATACATTTTTAATGAGCCTTTATTTATCTAAAGAATTGTCAGTTTTAAAACGCAGATAATTGAGTCCTCTTAATTTCCATTATCCTCAGGATGCTATTTACTTTAAAGAGTGGTAGCAAAATGTTGTGGGGAGGATAGTGAACCAGTTAATTAGAAGATTTCAAATTCTTCAAATATCTTCAAATTCTGGCTTTACCACTTACCTATTGAGTCACTTAGGCCAAGTCATGCCCTATTAACTATAGGAATATTGCCATAGTTAAATGAGAAACACCTTCTAATGTCAGAAATTACAAATGTACCTTGTTATTATTGATAAATTTTAATTTGTCTCAACATTTAATAATTAGAGTGTTCAACAGAGATAGGAGTGGGTAGCCTTAGAATGGATATTTAATCACTTTATTAATGCTTCATGATTAGCTTTGCAGTTATATTTAGTCATTCATATCAATGTTTTGAGTGAGTCATTGTTATAGAAAATTTATATCTCTGGGTTTGAGTTAAAACTTTTGTGCCCAAGAAAGCAAGGAATAAGGAGAGGGAGTTTTTTTTGGAAAAACTACTCTGTGTTGGTCATATTTGCCATCCACTGTTGAATCAGTTAGTTATGTTGACATACTAAGGATTTGTAGAACATACTATTGGAAATTGTAGTCTTAATTTACCATACCATAAAGAGAGCTTTGGGAAAAGAAAGATGGGATTGAAACAATAAAATTAATTTCAGTACTGCTTTTGCCTTTTAATGGTGATCCTGGATGACTGTCTCAGTTTCTTTTGAAAAACTTGGACTTATGTCTTTATGACTTTTGCCCTTTTAAAATATCTCATAGAATTAGCTTAGTAGAAGGAGTTGGGGGTTTGGAATTACAGCATGTATCTCCAATTAATTCAGAGTACTATTTGAGAAATAAGAGAAATGCTGTTGTTTTTAAGAAAGTGTGTTTATTTCTTGAAGAAGAAATTAAACTATGCAAATAGGCATAGAATGAAAGGCATAGAATGAAATTTTAGGGAGTTTTTGAATATTCATTCACAAATGTGATAGGGATGATATACATACTATTTTTAATTATTAAAATAGTAATTTAAAACTATTTTTCTGATCTAGAGTATGAATTCCCATGTATTTTCCCTCCAGCTCTATGTGAGGAAATAGTTTTTCTCTGAACTGTTGGAAATATATATCCTCAAAGAGGTTATAGCAGAAGATAGAGAAGAAACAAAGGACAGAGTATTAGGACAGAGGCATGGGAAATCTTTTGTAAAGGATATAGTTTAGATCAGAGTGTGTACTGTATGTGTACTATATTTTAACTCCTGTTAATTTTTATTGCTGTTTATTTTACATAAAGTGTTTTTTACTAAGATTGTCACTGGTTGCAATGATATAAAATGTACTCCTAATTATGATTTAGATATGATAATTTATCTTATATGTGTTCTAAATAAAGCATTGAAGGAAAACAGCTCAGAGGTTGTACAGCCTTTCCTAATGGGTTGTGGAACCAAGGAACCGAAGATCACTCAGCTATGTTTGGCCGCCATCCAGAGACTCATGTCACATGAAGTTGTATCTGAGGTAATAGGAAGATTTTATATGAACTGCATATAGGAGTCAGATCACTAGCTTTCTTTCATAGGGAAGAATGAAACATACCTGATATTTAATGTAAAATAGTTTTATGAATGTCAATGCACTTGAAGAAAATAGCTTAATTTAAAAAATATTGTCAGTTTTTCTCATTTTAGAGCACTCATAAATAGTAAAGATGAAACACATTTTAGTCATTTGTTATCTGAGAAGTCACAGTTCATTAATATAAGTGACAAGTTTAGAATTAAGCCAGTTTTCAGTATTATTCAGTAGATATCTAATATAACATAATATTTTTAAAAAGGTAGGTGTGAAAATTACTTTCTAGATGATCTGTAGTGATAATATATTGTTCATTAACTTAAACATTTATATCTTAACTTGATGATGACAAAATAAGAAAATATATATCATTATTATGGACCTGTATCTTGCTTACAGATTTAATGGTTTTACCTTAATTTTATACTTTATAAGGTGCTAGAATAGAAGTGGTCAATTATTTTGCTCTTAACATCTTAAATAGTTTTAATTTAATATACAATATATTGTTAATTTGGGTGCTTTTTATATCCTGTAACATAATATAAAATAATATATATAAAATAGTGGACTCCTAGTTAATTTGTGTATGTCTGTATTATTTTGGTCAGGTGAAGAAAGCCCATGTTGCTGTAGAAATGATCTTTGAGTTTTGGCTAGATATTTCAGAACTGCATGCTACTATTTTCTATATTACATCTTTAAAGAAACTTACTTTTTTCAAAAAGAAAACTAATTGATTGTGTCTCAATTAATTGAGGCATATGTTTGGATCTGTGGACTTTAAAATATGTATTTGATTTTGTTTTGTTTTTACTGTGATCAAGAAACTCCCTCCAGATGAGGCAAAGTTTGTGTACCTTTTCTTATCTGGGAACCTCAACACCTGTATTTTATTTGTTAATGAAAATTAAAATTATTTTACAGACTGCTGCTGGGAATATAATTAATATGCTTTGGCAGCTAATGGAAAATAATCTTGAAGAACTTAAGCTACTTCAAACAGTTCTGGTGCTTTTAACAACCAATACCGTAGTTCATGATGAGGCACTTTCTAAGGTAGGAGTTCTGTTTGTCAGAGTTTATTAGTGGTTTGTGAAATTATTTGAGTAAGCTGAAAGAGAAAAGCCTGGTGCTCTTGGAACTAAACCCAATTTCCCTGTAGCTATTATGATGATCAGCATTGCACTTTAATGGCCATTGATGCCTTATTTTCTCCATATGAGAGTTAAAATCATTTTCAGAGCCCCTTGGGTGTTGCTGATGGGTTTAGTTATTAATAGGAAATAGAAAAGTAAGTGAAAAGTTGTGAAAGAATCAGAGTAAAAAGGGAAAATGTGTTGTATGGTATTGCCTTGAATAGTTTAGATTCCCTGTGATAGCTCTCCCTTCTCTTTTAAAAATAATTCCATATGTATGTGTTATATAAACCAGATGATTAAAATCTGTCTCAAGTGGCTAGAGAAGTCTCCTTTCAGCATTTATACTGGATAAAGCTGCACATATGATAGCTAGTTCTTATTTCTTCCTTCCTCCCAATCTATATCTATAAAAATTTTTTTATTACTAAATACTTCTAAAGAACAGAAAGAAGAGTATAAAGAACAGTCTCAGTGATTTTCTAAGGAACATTTTGGACATTCAGTAATAGTTTCATTATAATTTGCATGTTTTTAAGGTTGGATGGCTTTTAAAATAGAGAAGTATAGTGTCACATTAAACTATATGTTATTGAGTATATTTATAAATTTATTTGATGTTCATAGATCAGTAAGATTTTACTTAATTGGTAATAGTTTATTCTTTTAAGGTCATACGTGTTATATACAATGTTTAAATATTTTTATACAGTGTACATTTTGTTACATACACTTTCTCTTGGTTTGTAGCTATTAAATTATTCTGATACAGATGTTTAAGATTTTATAAATGATTATCAGTTTATCTACTAAAATAGGAATTGACTGTAGGATTTATTTTAGTAAATCATTCAGGGGAAATAAAAGCATGACATACTATTCTATGCATAGTAAAAGAACAAATTTTAAAAGATATTTCATGTTACTTAAGCTAATCTTATTAGCTGTATATTTGTTTAGAGAATTATTTTAAAATCTGATCATTTTTGTAGTTTTATTGTGTAAAAATGTGGGACTTTTAATGTCTCTGAAACAATCAAATGTCATTTAATTTTAGGTTACATCTAATACAAATAGTAGTAGTTGTGTTCTTCAGTCTTATTTCATACTAAATGAAAACTTTTTTTAGGCAATCGTCCTTTGTTTTCGACTACACTTCACAAAAGATAATATTACAAATAATACAGCTGCTGCTACAGTGAGACAAGTTGTTACTGTTGTTTTTGAGAGAATGGTTGCTGAAGATGAACTCCACAAAGGTGAAGTAATAAAAGTTATTTGTTTTTGACTGTGGGTGATTTTTACATGCATGATTTCATTTTTATTAATTTTCAGCCTTTGCTCTATGAACTTAGAATACCTAAAAACTAGAAAACTTTTTAAATGCTTAATAATACCATTGTATTAATATTGGGAATTTTTTAGAAGTTACAATTTGATCATTCTTAGAAATAATTCATTTCCATGTTTATTTCTGTATGTGCATAATTTTCTGTTGAAGCTGATAATTTCACATTTTAGTCAACCATTACATTCTGTGAATTTTTAAATTTATTTATCCACATAATTTAAATTTTAGTAGTTACATTATATTTTATGGCTATTCAATAGTTTAAGAAATGAGTTTATTGGACTCTTAGGTGGTGTTTGATATTTTAAACTGTCTGAATATCTTCCTGCATATATTTTTTTCACTGTTTGAATAGGTACCACATGTTATAAAGAGTAATCTGTTTATTTTATTTCTTATCATTTTAAAAACTTTTTAAACTAAAAAATTATCTTTTCAGAGAGCTGACAAGTATTCCATTTTTACATGTTATAATTTAAATTATTTGATAACTTTTCATTGCTGTAGAGATTATCTTTTTCCAGATTTTACCTGTATTTGATAAAAAGTAAATTTTTCCCACAATCATTTGAAAAGATCACAAAGCGCTACAGTAATGAGCAACCTCTTATATAGTCAAGAAAAAATATTTAAGTATATTTCCCCTCACATTGTTTCTTTTTTAAAAAAACTCCCTATATTATGCAGTCTTTTGAATTTGTTGTTCTTTGGCAGTACTGTAAAAATTGACAATAGTATTGTTCTTTGGCAATACTGTAAAAATTGGCAATAGTAGTAGGTAATGGTAATTGTGCCTACTCGAATAAATACTTTCTTGAAATTAAATATTGGTCAGATTTGGTATATAATTTTTCTATATTGGTCCTTGAGGAAAATTGCAAATGGAATTTTAATAGTTTGAAAAATGTTAGGAAATCAATTTTACAGATTATCCTATTTTGTTAAAATATTCATAATTATATAAAAATAGAACAGTTCTTCAGTTTGATTGTCTTATACATTCATAACCTCAATATACTTCCTGGATTAGTAGTTTTAGCTGTGTGACTCTAAAGTAGTTAATATACCATTAAGTACTGTCAAATAAGATAAAAAATACTTTTTCAATAAAGCATCAAATCAATATTTATTCAAAATAAGTTGTCATAATTTATAGATAATGATTTTTTTATTAGTAGTGGAAAAAGTGCTGAGGTGGGAAACACCATTCTAATTGACTCTTAGCAAGTGAGTATCTCTAACAGGCATACTGAGAATGCTAGATCAAGCAGTTGATTCTTTTGAAGATGATAAGATAGTAGAGGAATTAACAGTATGATAAACTTTTATATATTTGATATTTAAAGGCACTTTCAAAGGACCATGTCAATTTCATACCCATGAATTAAAGGGGCTAATGAGGAGGACTAAACAAATCAAATGTATTGGACAAAGATACTGTAAGCTTAATAAAGTAAATATAACATATTGAAAAGTAATTTTTATGACATTTGTATAAAAATAGATTCTCATTGTTTCATTTTAGAGATAAAGTTCTGTAATTATAAGGTTTGTAATTATATAAACAAGTGTTTATTTTAGCCATACCTTTTAAATAGAATGTATGATTTTTAAAGGCCATTATGAACTGCTAAAGCCTATCCCATTTTGATTGCAGATAACATAGAGCAACCAGTACTGGTCCAAGGCAATAGTAACAGGAGATCGGTCAGTACCCTCAAACCATGTGCTAAAGATGCATATATGCTCTTCCAGGTACTTCAATTAACAGAAATAATTTTATTGCAGTTTTGTGTGACTTTGATTTTTTAAATTTTTAAATTCTTACTATTAAATTTTTGATTTAGAATTTTATGTCTGATTTTTAATGTAGAATTAAAAATGTAGAAGCAATACTTAAATATTTATGAATGATTGAAAAACAGCTTCTGTATTTACTGTACAGCTAATTAACATGATAAAGTTACTTTAAGAGAAATCATCTGTTTATATATTGTCATTAGTTACATGATTCTATATATAGTCTGTCAAATATTCAATTTGAATTATTGATGTTTCTAATGAGGATTTTTTTAAGTTTATGAATTGTGAATTTTGAAAAGCATATTTCACTGTAGCACATGAAATTGTTTATTTTCCCAGGACCTTTGTCAGTTGGTTAATGCCGATGCTCCTTACTGGCTAGTGGGCATGACGGAAATGACTCGGACATTTGGCCTCGAATTGCTTGAGTCAGTCCTCAATGATTTTCCACAAGTCTTTTTACATGTAAGCCATCGATACTGTCTTGTAACAAACTTGATCTTTAATTTTTTTCACAAATATTTTTCAAGAAAGCAACATGTATTTTTTTCCACATCAAATGATGCAAAGACATAGCTTCAGACTATAGACGTATGGTAATGTACTGTTTCTTTTATCATTTTTAGGACTTTAACATTTTGCAGTTTTAACCTTAGAAGAAATTCCTGGAGACTTTAGCTAGTTAGGTATTTCCTAGCCTATGAATCAATCAGGGAAAATGTATGTGAGCTGTTTTTATATCTAAAACCCTAAAAGAATTACTATTTTTTTTACTTGTTTATGTATAATTACATGGTTTTTATTTTGTTTAGTTTTTTGAAATATGGTCTTTTTCTGTGTTGGCCAGATGCTTCTGAGTCCTACATTCAGTAGTCTTCCTGCCTCAGCCTCCCAGCCAGCTGAGACGAGGCATATGGCCCTTCACCTGGCAAAAGCTGTGTGTTTTTTGATAACTTAATGTAAAAATGTAGTTAATATTAATAAATGTAATATGCAATACAAAATATTTTTAACAGAAAATGGGGGAAAAGGAATGTTGAAATCAAACATTTCATTTTACTTGTAGAAAAACTAAAGTAAGTCCTTTAATTATTAGCAGATCTTGAAATATAATTAAGATCTTTTATTTTTTAAGCAAGAAAGTGTTAAAACCTGTATTTTTGTCATGCCAGAGGCTCTGGTGTAGGTTGTCTACATAGCATCTAACTTTTTGCTTAAATACTGGTAAAAGAGGAGAGGTAGGATGGGAGGAGAATTTCCACCAAGGCAGTGCTTGGGCCATAAGCATCTTAGAAGATATTATCTCCCATACAACTAATTGGGTTTGTGGCGCAAAGTGGACACATACACCATTTCTGTTCTTTTTAGATAAAATTTAGGTCGTTTTGACTACTAAAGTAGCCTCTTCCCCTACCATACTGTCTTCCTTTCTAAGTAATCCACTTTATCCTTTGTTCTCAACCTACAGACTATGTGAATCATGTACCAGAAAGTGTATGATCTTTTGTCCTGGGTCTTAGAACTGAAATTATTTTTATGTGGCTCATAATGTTTAATTGCTTTTTATCAAACTGAACAATATTGGGCCGGGGATTTAGCTCAGTGGTTCGGTGGCCTGCCTCGCAAGCGCAAGGACCCGAGTTCGATCTCCAGTACCAAAAAAAAAAAAAACAAAACTGAACAATATTTACTGATTATTCCACTTCTTTTAATATAATTAGTATTTAATTATAACTTATCCAACAGTCTTTTATGTGAAGTGATAGTCATAATAATAGCCACTACTTTTTGATTGCTGTCTACACTTCTTTTTTCACAGTACCAGGGATCGAACTCAGGACCTTGTGCTTGCAAGGCAAATGGGGCACCACTGAGCTAAATCCCTGGCCCCAGCTGTCTATAATTCTACCACAGTTACAGTCCAAGCCATCTTCACTTCTTACCTGCATTACTATATTAGCTCTCTAACTAATCTTGTATCTATGCTTGTCCTACCTAATTATTTTGTTATACCACATTCAGAATGGTGTTGAGTCAGATCTTTTTAGTCCTTTGTAAAAGTCCTTCATTTGATATCTTCTTAGAGTAAAAGATGAAGCGTTATTAAGATCCGTGGAAGTTACCATTGTTTATTCTCCAATAGTCATTGTTCTTTTCTCTCATTACTCTTTTCCTTTCTCTCACCCTATGGCCACATTATCCCTTATATTGTTCTTTAAATGCCATCAAACAGACTCCTGCCTCAGGTCTGTGTATTTACTGTTTTGAAGAATAGAATGCTTTCCATACTTTTTGTTCAATTGTCAATTTACCAAACAAATCTTCCCCAACCACCCTGTATAAAGTGATCACCTTATTTCATGCCAGCACTTTGTTTGTTACTTCTCTCTCTTTTTTAATGGCACTTAACACTTCTTGATATATAATATTTATTCCAGATTTTTTCCCCACAAAATTTCTACTTTATTATTCCTGCTCTAATGTAGGGAGATAAAATAATCACTGTGTGTATGATCCTTGAATTTAATCCTGCAAAATTTTCTTCCAGAGATAAATTTTAGTTTTCTTTTGCTAATTATTCACACATTTAACCAAAACTTACCAGTTATTTTTGCCAAGAATGGAAAAATTAGATAAGACTGGTAAAATTTTTGATCTTACAAGTCTAATGAGGAGAAGGGTGATAATTGAATAAGATGTGATAGTGCTGTGGAAATGAATAGCATGGGTACCAAACATGGTGTAGAGTTGATAATGAAGAAAGGAAGTGATGGGTAAGCAGGTACCTAAAGGATGAAGAGTAGTATGTGAGAAGATATAAGGAGAATAGGAAAAGAATAACCCATTCAGAGGCAATTCTGAAAGCATTTGCCATGAGATAGGGTGTCATTTCTAGAAAATTGACATAGGGGGACATTGAAAATTGTACACCTAGCACATAATAAACAGTAGTTAATTGATTAATAAAATGTTGTAGTGGGTAATGAAAAAGAATTTCAAAGATAATTTTGGGCTTTCTGGCTTGAACAGTGAACCATTTGCTAAAATGAAATACACTGGTGGACAGAGTTTTTATGTAAATAAAAATAGATTATTCATTATTTTGGAGAGAGAGATGCAAGATGTTACTTGTATTTTGGGGGTCTTAGGCCAAAATTATAAATTTAAACATTGCTGGCATATCATTGCTAATTAAAGATATAGCAGTGAGGTCACTTGTGACAGCATGGAGTAGAAAACAAGGGCCTAGTTTTCTGAGCTCTGAGAAACTTTAACATTAAATTACCTGGCATGAAAAGATGAGCATGCACAGAATATTGAGAACTTTAGGCCAGAGAAGCAGGAACAAATCTCAGAGAAAGTGTGGTATAATAAAAGACAGAAGTAAAAAAAAATTCAACCAAATAATCTTCCACTTGAAGTGCATCAGAGAGGTCTGGTACGGTGAAGTTGGCCAGAGATCACAATGACTGTTGAAGCACTCAGTAGTGAAAACCAACTGTAGTGAGTGAATAGATAAAGCTTTAAGAACTGTGTGTTATATCCTGTGTAACTACTTTTAAGATAATGATACAAGTATATTGTTAGACTCTTATTTTGTTAGGGAATTTTAGTTTTTCATAAAAACTTTTTTACATATTAATATATAAAAATTATTTTTGTGATGTATGAAAATGCACTTAACTATACCTTTAATTTTGCAGTCAAATTAACTGCAGATGTGAGGGTAGAATTTTAAGTCACTTGACTGTTAATGTCTATTTTTGAGGGAAGACTTAAAGAACATTAAAACATATAAAAATCATTAAGACTATAATCAGAAGTTAACAATATTAGCTTATCTGCAGGAGGTGAGATTAGTCAAGACTTTTATTTTTATTACTTATCTGTATTTTCTGATTTTTTTTTCCTCTGAAATAGATCTTTAAAAAATATATTAAAAACTTTGGTTTCTGAAAAAATAAACTGCTCTTTGATAGTGTTAATTATTAAATGCAGACTTAACTAAGCTTTATCAGTAAAGTGAGAATGTGCTCTTAGCTAATATAGACAGGGAATTAAGTTAAGGAAGACTTTTTGCATAATATACTAATATAAACTAATATAACTAATATACAATGACTATATAAGATTTAATTCTCTACAAAATTCCTCAACTTGTGAAAATAATTGAGCAATATGAAGTTTATAATTATACTATAAAATATAAACTTATAATTAAGTAAATTTATGCTGATTAGTAACAAGTTGTGTTTGAGTGAGACTGTGTTTTTAAAGTATTAAGTACAAACTAAATTATATTTTTTTATTTACAAATAGCACCAGGAATTTAGCTTCCTCCTCAAAGAAAGGGTGTGTCCTCTTGTGATAAAGCTCTTTTCTCCAAATATAAAGTTCAGACAAGGTTCCAGTACTTCATCTTCCCCAGCACCCGTGGAAAAACCATATTTTCCTATCTGCATGCGTTTGCTGAGAGTAGTATCTGTTCTGATTAAGCAGTTTTACAGTCTTTTGGTAAGTGCTAATTTCCATAAATGTTTATATATATAATTGCATACCATTTTTTTATTTTTAAGATAGTGCTCTATTACTTTTAAAAATTAAGTTCAAAAATTTTTTTAGTATCTACCAATATTCTTCCAGGAACTTTGTTATCTATCCTTTCTTGAATCTTGCTTATGTTTATATAGTATTTATACTCTGTCTAAATGAGAGTCATAGCTGTTACCTAAAAGCACCAGAGAATTTCTGGGTTACGAATTCAGCCTTTCAGTTAAGTTTATATCTCATTTGAAGTATAATTAAATTATGGTATCTACGTATTCTGTTTTTATTTATACTATTTCATCCATTTTAAGAGATTACAGCAAAGATGTTAAAGGTGTGATCAATTTTTTTGTTTTTATTTCTATTCCAGAATTGTATCTATTATGCATAAATTTGTGGATACGATGTATGTTTGATATTCCTGATCACAATTTTGTTAATATAATGCTTACTCTTAAACATTTGAATGATATTTCTGAGAGAAAATGGTATATTATATTTCTTTCTAATTTTATGATAAATCAAATTCAGCATTGTATAATTTTTAGCATGTCATATCTTTATTTTTAATTAATAAAAGATGATACATAAGTATTGAAGATTTCAATATCTTAATTGCAGTGATGGGTACACACAAGGTCAATAAGATCAAACAGAGGACTTTAACATTACTAATCAGTTGAACCTAGCAGACACATACAGAGTAATCCACCCACCCATTTTCAGAATACACATTTTTCTCAGATTTATAGACATTTAATGGTGATTGCCAAATGCTGAGGGGGGAAAGGAATGGGGAGTTACTGTTTAGTGGGTATAGAGTTTTAATTTTAAAAGATGAAAAAAATTCTAGAATTTTATTGCACAACAGTGTGAATATAGTTAACCCACTACTGAACTGTACACACGTAGACATTAGTAAGAGAGTGAATTTCATATCGTGTATTTTTATAATTAATTAAAACATTTTAAAATGTAGGCAATATAGTAAAAATAAAAATAATTAGAATATAGAAATACCAGTCAGCATGGAAAGTGGTGAGGGAATGGAGAGATTTTTTAAAAAGAGAGAAATATATGGGCCAGTATACAGCCAATGCTGAAGTTCTATTAAATAATTGCCAGGCCATGTGGTAATCAAAATGTTCAAAGTTTTTATTCCTGTCTCTAGGCCAACTACATACCACTTCTCCACTTGTTCTCTAGGAACTGGCAAAGTTGACTTAAAAAGGCTTCTCTTCTTCTTTCTTTAATATTGGCCTAACTATAGTAAATTGAGATAAGACTAGAGGGAGGCATTTCTCCTTTTCTTTTTTCATGCTCACAAACAGTCTTGGAGAAATGGGTTCTCTAGGGGGGAAAAGTCAAATAGTTCAGTTCACACCTGTTTTTCTTCCAGACCCCCATCATACTTTGATGCAAAGCAAAAGTTCTTTATGTATATATCCCATTTTTGTCTCACTTAAATATCATTAAGAATGTGAATTTCAGGCAGGGGATTTAGCTCAGTGGTTCCACGCCTGCTTTTCAAACTCAAGGACCTGAGTTCAATCCCCGGTGCCAAAAAAGAAAAAAAAAAGTGAATTTCATATTATGTACTTTTACAGTTAAAACATTTAAAAATGTATACAAGATAGTAAAATTAAAAATAAATAGGATATAGAAATACCAGTCAGCATGTAAAGTCAGGAGGAATGGAGAGTATGAGAAGACTTGCTCATAGGGTCAGGTTTGATAAAATCAACATTTTTTATTTTACTTTTGCTATTATTCTTAAGTAAAATTTATACAGTGTGTGTTTATATATTTTAATTGTTGGTGGCAGAGAAGAATATCATGGTACTAGCACACTTTGGTTTTATTGCTTTGATTCTTGCTAAGATGCCATCTATTATATCTACCATAGCTTTTGTACTATTAAGTCACTACCTTGAAGATGACAAATAATATCATAGTATTATTATAAAAATAATTTTGATTTCATAGAAATGGTCTCAAGGACCCCTAAGAGGTCTAGCAGCCATACTTTGGAAAAAAACACTGTCCTAGAGAATGTTTTTCTCTCCCCAGGATTCACCAGCTTATCTCTGTCAAGTAGCTCAGAGGTAAGGGTGACTAATTATTAAAGGTTTATTCTGTTGCTATTATCTAGAGAGACAAGAAGAAATTAAAATGCCCCACTCATCCAGGTAGAGATGTGTCTATTATATTCTCCATTTCTGTCATCTGAGTTGGGCGCTTCTGTGTCCTCTGAATCACTTAGGACAGGTGACCAGATATTAACTTATTGCCTCTGTTTCTTAAGAAAAGACAATATAGAAAAGTTGTTGTTAGAATCAATATATGCACACCCATGTTTATAGTGGCGCAGTTTGTAATAGCTAAAACTTGGAAACAGCGCATTTGCCCATCAACTGGAGAATGGATAAAGAAAGTGTGGTTTTTCTATAAAATGGAATAGTACTCAGCCATAGAGAATGAGAAACTATAGACATTTATAGCTAAATGGGTGCATATTGAGGCCATACTCTTCAGTGAAATAAATAGGTCACACGTGTAAATACCAAATAGTTTCTCTGGTGTGAAAAACAAAGTGTAAATAAGGTTCAAATTGTGTAATTGATAATGTGAAATAGGAAGAAAAGGGCTAAAGGAGTAGGGGAAAGGAAAGAAGGGAAAATTAAAAAAATATGAGAAAAGGAAAAATTGGAAACAAAGTCTTTGTAAATAGGGAAGGGTAGGAGGGGGTGAAGGGAGTGCAAAGGTATACAGAAGAAATAAGAACCAAGACCTGTCGTGTAAAGGTACAAGATCCCAGTGATGAATGTAATTGTACTGTATACCTAAAAATACCAATAAACTTAATGAAAAATAAAAAAGAAAGGCTGTTGTTATATTCCTGAAGGGTAAAGTATACATCCTATTAGCAATGTGCATGATTTATGCTAATTGGCAATTTTTAGGAATAAGAGGGGACAAGATTTTTTTATTTCTAAAAAAAAATAAGGATTAACCATGTTACAGATCTTGAGTATTTACAGGGATATATTTAGAAATATTATTTTTACTCTTAACCTTTCCTTACAATAAAGCTACTTACGGAAAACTCCCATTTTCTCTAACCATCACGAATTTATTTCAAATTAAAATATTTTATTGGTTTGTCCATGGTACTGTTATTAGCAAGCATATGATTTGCAATTCTTTTCTTTGACTCAGAGAAACATAAAAAAAATATACTTTTTAGGTAACTGAATGTGAGATATTTCTGTCACTTCTGGTAAAGTTTCTGGATGCAGATAAACCACAGTGGCTACGAGCTGTTGCTGTAGAATCAATACACAGACTCTGTGTGCAGCCTCAGCTGTTAAGGTAAAACTTCAGCAGTATTTTGCTAACTGAATGGGTTAAACTGGTACGAATAGTCATAGATTAATAAACTAGTAGGAAGAGCTTTGGTATCTATTCCTCCAAAATACATGATTTTTTAAAGAAAATTATATATTGCATGTATATGAAGGAGTATAGTGCAAAATAGTATGCAAAATAATTCAGAGGGGGCAAGATGTAAATTTACTAACATTATTTTTTAGACATTGACCTTTGTCCTTAAATTAGTGAAATCACTCAGTTCTCATGAAGAATCTTTGAGTGTAGCATTGAAGCTATTTAGTAACATTTGCTGTTAAAAAAAAAAATGCTAAAGAATATGCAGATGTTTTTCCCTGAAGCATTTTAAATGGAAAAATGGAATTAGAGTGTTTGTTAATAGGGAGGGAGGAGGGGGTGAAGGGAGGGTAGGGACAAGGGGAAAAAATGAGAGCCAAGACCTGTCATGTAAAGGTACAAGATCCCAGTAATGAATGTAACTGTGCTGTATACCTAAAATGTACCAATAAACTCAATATAAAATAATATGGGGAGGAGAGGAGGGGGGGAGGGGGGAGGGTAGGGACAAGGGGAAAAAATGAGAGCCAAGACCTGTCATGTAAAGGTACAAGATCCCAGTAATGAATGTAACTGTGCTGTATACCTAAAATGTACCAATAAACTCAATATAAAATAAAAAATAAAATATTTTTCAGGTCATTTTGTCAGTCCTATGATATGAAACAGCATTCTACCAAGGTTTTTCGTGATATTGTGAATGCACTTGGATCTTTTATCCAGTCCTTGTTTCTTGTCCCTCCTACTGGAAATCCAGCCATAACCAATCAAGCTGGTAAAGATATATTTTGTTTATATATTCTACCATAATTTATAATGTTCTCTCTGCTGAGAAGCTGTTTTCTAGAAATCACATGACTAGAAAAATTTGGATACGTTAATAAAGATTTATATTCAAAGAATAATACAGTATGTTTTCTATAGACTTTTCTTCTCTGGTATACTACTTTCAGTTCCTCTAATAACTTTAGGACAGAAGTTTAGATTCCTCTTTTTAGAGGGAATTGCACTTAATTCCTTTCTTTAAAGAGTCTAGTTACTACCTTAGAAGGTCTGATAGTCTCTCTTTAAACAAAAAATATTAACATTGTTTAAGTTTGTTTGAGTCAATGTATATATAATTTGTTGTTTCTCCTTACCTTTTTCTGTATTGCTTTGAATTGATTGTATTTTTATTTATTTCACCTGGATAAAGAAGACTAACAAAATAAATAATAAAATATTATTTGGCCATAATTCTAATAATTCTGCTTTAGTAGCTTTTATACAAAAAAGGAAATGGTATTTGGATTATCAGGTTAACAAATTAGGATTAATACATTTCATTTGTATGTGTAATATTCTCATGGTACAGAAAAAAATTTAAAGGTTAACTAGGTGTTTGAATATTAATGATTTGTCATCAAGTGGTAAATTAGTATCTTTGCTTTTTCCCTCTTATCTAATAGGAAACAATAATTCTGGTGGCCCAGTCTCAGCACCAGCTAACTCAGGAATGGTGGGGATTGGTGGAGGTGTTACTCTGCTACCAGCCTTTGAATATAGAGGAACTTGGATACCTATTCTGACTATAACAGTTCAAGGCAGTGCTAAAGCCACCTAGTAAGTAGCAGTAACATTACTTTATAAGGAATATTGTTGGAGATGATATTCAATCCTAAAATACTTCTGTCTACATCATATTTTAAGTTTTAAATCCACCATTTCTAATACCCCAAAACTCATTTTCTTTTATCATATTTTGAGAATTTTTTCTAGGACTAGATTTTTTTTTTTATCCTAATTGTAGACTGCTGGCATCTTTGTAAAACGAAGTTTTTTTGTTTTTTGTTTTTTTCTAACCTAAACACCTATTCAAATGTCCTATATAGGTTTTTTTGAGTACAGGATTTGATTTCAGACCTCTTGGACTTATGTCATCTGATATTAACTGAGTTACCTCTGGCAAATTGATTTTTTTTTAAATACCAGTTGCATCATCTATGAAATGGAAGTAATACTATAATCTAACTTTTTAGAATACTGTAAATGAAGAAATTTACTTTAAACATTTAAAAATATTTAGCTAATCATATTCTTGGGGTTGAACACAGAAATTTTAGTTTTTAATTTATTAAAACTTTAATGGAGTCCATGTCTCTTTTTGGATTGTCATTAGCTACTTCAGTTTAACAAATACGTATTTAGCAGTGTACTGTTTCATTTTTTTTAAACAATTAATGAGTGCTAACAGAAATAAAACAGTATTACATGAGTTTAGCCAGGCACACACCTGCAGTTCCAGAATAGAGCCAGAGGCAGGAAGTTTGTCATGAATTTGAGGCCAGCCTGGGCTACATAGTGAGTTCAAGACCAGCCTCAGTTGCATAGTGAAACCCTGTATCAAAACACCAAAAATGAGAAAAAAAATGTATTAAATCAGTTTAACATTGCTGTAGTTAGTATGAGGCAGTTACTGATATGTTTTGAATAATTGATATGTGTGATGAAATCACTATTCTGTTGACAGTAAATGAAAATGACCTCAAATACAAAGTATGAAGGGGCCGGAGATTTTGCTCAGGAGCACTCGGGCACTGTGCCTGCCTTGCAGCCACAAGGTCTTGAGTTTGATCCCTGGTATCAAAAAAAAAAAAAAAAAAGTATGAAAAAAATCTCTGATTAATTTATTAGTCTGCATTGCATCACTATTGTGATATTTTGGCACACAGCTTTCTTTTGTCTAAAATTATAAAAGTGTAGACATAGAGCACTGAAATATTTTAATGAAAATTTGTTACATTTTTCATTTATAAGATATTAAAGTTACTTAGTATATTGACTTTCCTATGTTAGAAAAGGTAATAACTCAAGTGTACTAGAAATGAAATTGTAAAAGAATTAGATTTCTAACCCTAAAGGAGACATTAATAATTATCTAGTTCACTGCCACAGTTTTATAAACTGAAAACAAAACAAAACAAAACCAGCACAAAACAAAATTCCTATCCTTATAGAGCTTACATTTTGGTGAGATAGTCAATAAATAAAGACACAAATGCACATATAATCTTGGGTAGTGCTTAATTATTTGAAGTAAAAGTAAGTTTAGAGGTGAGAGAGCAAACAAGGTGAAGATAGGGACAGAAAATGATCTGAGGACATAATTGTGCAGACACAGTCAAAAGGAGGGAGTGAGGATGTGTGGGTGAGTAGGAAAACACATAAACTATGAAAGAGTAAGTTTTCAGCAAAGTTGTAAAACTGCCTTTTTATTAATAAACACCTAAAATCAAATTGTTTATTGATAATCTACTCCTGTCACTCAGGAGAGCAGAATTTTATGTGGTTCTCCTGCTGAATACTCTGGATTTGAGTACAGCATTATCTCACTTGATCTTAATTTTCTCATCTTTAAGATAAAATTAGAATTTAATATCTAAAGAAATGTGTAAATTTCTTAGTACTGTAATGCTGAAGTTATTCACTTTTGAAATTACAAATTGCGAGAGAATATTGGGTGTTCTTTTTGTACATCCATTTCCTTTTTTTTTTTTGGTACTGGGGATCAAACTCACGTCCTTGTGTTTGCAAGGCAGGCGGCGGAACCACTGAGCTAAATCCCCGGCCTCTGTACATCCATTTTCTGTGCACATTGGAGCTTCCTGTTGAATGGCATCTTCTGATCATTCATTGTGAGATTCAATATAAAATGATTTCTACTAGTTTCTTTGGAGAGACACATGTAAATATTGGTTGTATATTTGGGTCTTTCATTGACTTCTTAAATATTGTATGTAGTAATTTGAAAACTTGGGCGATGTCTACATAGAAGTAGTTTTTTTTTCCTTTGGTACTGGGGTGAACTCCAGACCTTACACTTGCAAGGCAGGTGGCGGCACCACAATAGAAGTAGTTTTGACCCAAGTATTGGTGGCGTTATTTTCTTTAATTTATTACATTATTGGTCTCTTTACATTTGGGCTTTTTCACATGTAAAAGACAGATTCATTAGTTTTTATGGTTGAATAATACTTTAATGTATGGATAAACTACATTTTAAAACCCCTTGTTTTTGACGTATTTAGATTATTTTCACTTTTTGATTCCTATAAATGCTGCTGTGAGCATTTGCCTGCACATTTCTCCATACACATGTGTTTTCGTGTCTCTTTGGTATGTATCTCAGATAGAACTGCTGGGTCATATGATGACTCTATGTTTAACTTTTTGAGGAACTGTCAAAATGTTTTCCCAAGCAACTGTAACATTTTACATTTTCAGCACTGTGTAAAGGTTCAGATTTCTGCACATCCTAAATAATATTTGTTGTTTATCTTTTTATTATAACCATTCTAGTGAAAATTTCTCTGGTTTGTTGAGTGACTTTTCATTTTCTTGATATTGCTATTTGAAGCACAGTAGTTTGTCTTCCTTTTTCTTTGTTGGTTGTGCTTATATCTATAAACCATTGCCTAATCTAAGGTCAGAAAGATTTTTGTCTATGTCTTACTCTAGGAATTTTATAATTTTATCTCCTAGAGAGTCTTGATTCCTTTTGAGTTAATTCTGTATATAGTATAAAGTAAAAGTTCAAAATCTATCTTTTACATGTGAAGAATCTGTAGTCCCAGTACTATTAGTTCTTTCCCAACTGGATTACTCTTTATGGTATTGACAAAAACAATCTAAGGGATTTAGAAGGGTAATTCCTTATTTCTTCTGATTTAAGATAGAACATTTACTGTCTTTCTTTGTGAAAGCTTTCTCCTAATTATGAAGTAGAAACTTTTGTAGTTTGAACTTGACACACCAAAGCTCTTAAGTATCATTTGTACTGCAGATTGCTTCTGGGCTTTTAGGTGCTCTGAATATTTCACAGTTGCACTTTTCCCTAATGTTAAAGCATCTTCCTCTTCATAGATGGATTTTAATTTATGGCACCTTCTTTTAGAAGCATCTGTGTCACCTGGGTGCAGTTGTGGATGCCTGTAATTCAAGCTGTTTAGGAGACTGGGATAGAAGGATCATAACTTCTAGGCCAGCCTAGGCAATTTAGTGAGACCCTGTCTCAAACATAACAAAACAAAACAGTGAGCTGGAAATATAGCTAAGTGGTATAGCTCATTCTGTGCCCTTGGGTTCAATCCACAACACTACAAAAACAACAAACAATAAAGAATTTAACTAAGTCAGAGTTTGAGAAGGTTTAAAATGTTTTTAAGGGCTGGGGATTTAGCTCAGTGGTGCTGCTGCCTGCCTGGCAAGTGCAAGGACCCAGGTTCAGTCCTTGGTACAAAAAAACCCAAAAACACAAAAAAATGTTTTTAAGTCTTAACTGTGTTTTGTAAATATCTTCATTTTTCTAATATTAACAGATAATGAAAATATTGGTGAAGCAGGAGTTAAAGTATTAAAATAATTAGTTATATCAGGAGTCAGACCTTCATTTTTCTGAGTTACTTAAAATACCACGAAAAGATCCTTCTTCAAATGAGACAAACCCTTATTTTTCTTGTTCTGTGAATCTTAAATTCTAAAATCTAGAAATTATAGGAAATGTTTTTACGATTTCTTTGTTGTGCCTTCTCAATTTAATTTTACTTTAATTTTTACGTAATTTACTTTATATAAAATCTACTTTAATTTTTTCATAATTTCAGCTTAGAGATGTTGGACAAAGTTGAGCCCCCAACTATACCAGAAGGCTATGCCATGTCTGTGGCATTCCATTGTTTGCTGGATCTTGTCCGTGGAATCACTAGTATGATTGAAGGAGAATTGGGAGAGGTTGAAACAGATTGTCATTCTACCACTGAAGCAGGTTCTTCACCAACACAGTCATCAGAACAGCAAGATTTACAGTCAGCATCAGACCAAACGGAGAAGGAAATAGGTATATTATTATTTTGAAGTAACTTGAAATTTATGAACCATTGGCAAAAAAATATCATATATCATCCATCCTTACTTCCCAATTGTTAACAGTTTACTATATTTACCATGCCATTCTACATGTGACTATACTTTTTCTGAACTATTTAAGAATATTTATATCGACATGATATCCCTTTACCCCTTAATACTTTTTTTTTTTTTTTTTTTTT